ATTGGAACAGTAAATACAAAGAAATTAACAAAAATGTAAATATATTTATTAACAAATTGGAGAACATGCTTGATAAGCTACTTCAGAGAAAAAAGTGATTCTGTCAGGAATGCTTTTCTTTGTTCTTAGGCTTTCCCATACTGACTCATTTGTATAACTTCTCAGTATTTTCAGTTAGGTGCCATTATTGAACTGAAACACATATGGACCTCAGAACACTTCAAAAAGCTTTAGTTATCGCTGTCCACAGGTCAGAGTAATGGGGAAAGTGGAGCTTTTGAAATAAGTGCCCTGACCTGTTGTAATAACCACCTTGGTGATTTTCTGATTGACTTCAGTAAGCCTTGGCCTGTACTCTAGGGCCAGACCCAGGCACTTCCTCTTGCCACTGGCACTTAATTCCAGTTATGGATCCTGGTCTGAGGAAAGTATCTTAAGACTTTGGTGGGTTGGAGAATGAGCTGAAAACACCTCAGAAGTCACTAACCAGTGACTAAAACCAGTAAGAATGAAAGGGAAAGGAGTTGTGCAAATAACTGTGCGTCACGTGTCCAGTCTGCTAGATTCTCCATCTCTCTCTCCATCTGTGTCTACTGTAGGACTAGATGTAGGTTTTCATGATTAAATCATACTTTTGTTAACCGTACTCCAACGTGAATCCCTGTTACTAACTGTATGGACTCGCAAGTAAATTCTCAGAGAGAAGCTAGGGTGTTACCTTGCGGTCAGTTAACTACTCCATGATAATTGCTAATCTGCACAGTTGTATGCTACGTTAAATAAAAAATATTTTGTGCCTTAGTGGAGTAAGGTAAATGACCTTTTATTTCCTGCCCGTGGACATGGGCAATTACTGCAAGTTCAGAAACTTTGTTGACACTAGGATAATTACTCTTCCGTTTGCCCTTTCATTCAGTGTCCATAGGATTCAGAATGGCATTTTCTGCCTTTGCATGATGTGGTAGTGTTGTTAAAAAATTATAATTTTTGTTCCTCGTCTGTAGTTTTGGTTGGCTGAAAGGCTACATGTATTTATTCTGCTGGATTAGTAGCAGAGGACTCCAGTATCTTTTCTGGTTTATCTGGAGGTAATACTTAGTAATACTATGCATTAAACCCTAATATTGTTTTCTGAGGTAAGTAATTTTGCTAGAACAAACCAAAGGTTTTTAAGTTCACGAGAATCTGAACTAAATTACACATGCTTCCTGCTTACTGTCTTAGGTTCTTCTTACAATGATAGCATACTGCCTTGAATAATAAAAATAAAACACATTAGGATTTTTAAAAAAATTATTCCTTTACTCTACAATAGCTTTTGTATCTTCAAGTAGCTCATTTGTTGAGCGTTAAAATGATGCTGCCTTTGTTGACAGTTAAGGGTATGTGCTTTGTGTGGAGTCTAACTTGTCACATGCAAGACTGACAATATACCGTCTGCTATGTATTTTCTAGGGGAAATAATGTGGATTTGTCTTTCATATGTAGAATATTTTTGTATTACAACTTCCTTCATGAAAAATCTTTGGTTTGAAATTGTGTGAAGTTAACTTTAGAGGAAAAGCCATGTCAGTTCCCCAGTTTCAATCTGGAAATAATTTAACAACAAAAGTGGTTATTCTGTTAACCACGCAATTGGAAAATGAGCAGCAGGGTGTTTTTTAGAACTTAACAAACAGGACTTTAGCGTCAGTCATTAATTATAGATTGGAGATTTTATGCAACTTTGATATAGCTAGAGCTCCTAATGTTGTTTTTTGTGTATGTAAAATCACTTCCACCTTATTTTAGTTTAATACTACTAAATTTACATCTCGTAAAATAAATATTCGAAAGTGAAAAGGAATATCCATCTGTTTAGAACTTTTTGTGTGTCCTCCTTTGATTGAACCAGGAAGTTACTTAAAGGGTGAAGTGAAATTATATATTAAAACTCACCTCAACTCCAACTCCTTATTGTTCCCCATGAGAGTTTCTCTTCTACCGTTTGCTGTCTGGTGGCTCTTCCTAAACTCTCCTGACTGTGAAGGTGAACTTGCTCCTGCTCCCACCTGACTTCTTGACAAACTGTAGAGCAGTCCCAGGTGACCTTTACTATATGATATGGCATCTCTCCTTTGACAGTCTTGTTATAGATTACTTCCAAAAAACCTACCAATTAAAGGATTGGTACAGTTGCCTATGTAGCCTTCATTTATCCTTGTTAGGTTCATGCAAATTGAAACACTATAATTATATGATCTGCCACCGTCACTTTCCGTAGGAGCCCTGCTTGGTGCAGCGAGTGGTGCTGGCAGAATGGATGAGTGTAGTTCCTGGTTGTGCTCATCCTTCCATGTGTTGACACCCGTTCCTCTTCCCCCCTCCACCCATTTTCTAGCAAATATCTTCCAAAACTGAATGTGGAGCTGTTAATTTTCCAGTGGGGTTTTCATATGATTCTCTTAAAAGAGAATTGAGGGAATTCTAGATACGGAACATTGCTATTAAGAGTAATATATAGGGCTGTCATTACTTCTCATGTAGAAAATAGCTTACAATATTAGAAATTGATATATCTGTTGGTTGAAATTACATTGGTTTGGAAAATTAGATAAGCTGGCCAAGCTGCAAAAGGCAGAACTTCTGTGAAATAATGTAAAGATTTACTATCAGCCTTCACAGAAGTAGATCACAAGGTTTGATACTAGCATTTCCTTTTGGGTGTGACTCTTGTCTACATCTGTTTCTGGAATGGATTTATCACCTTTTATAATGTCTAAATAAATTATTTCCATGTTACACAGATGTGTGTGCATTTTTGTGATGCTTGCACTTTCTCCTTTCAATGTTCTTATTAAAAAAGCTTGGTATGGTTTTAAATATTAGTTCATAAAGAATATTGTTTCTTACTGTAAGTTTGACAGTCTCATTGTGACCCCTTTGGAGCATCATTCATGTTGCCAAACTGATAGCTGTCATTCTCACCGGTTTGTGATTTGCACAGAGAGACAAATGCTACTGTGATGCCTGAACGCTGGTTTGTTCCTTACATGTCAAGTCTACAAGGTGTGGCTGGACAGTGTTAAATGGGCGTAACTTTTCTGTTCTGCTACTTCCTGCTTATCCAGGCATTTTGAATTAAAATACCTGCGTGTGTATGTGTGTATAACAAATTATAGTAATTTTTTATAGTAACTGTTAGCACCCTTTTGAAAGGAACAGGACATCCGTGAATGGTGGGGTTCTTGTCTGTTTGTTTTTTTTTGCCTGTGTAAAATTGTGAAGGGATCAAATTGTGCCTTCATTATGAAGGTCTAAATCATCTGCTCTGTACTATATCATTGCCTCTTACGCTAATTCTATCTTTTAGCTACGTTAGTTCAGGTGTGTGTGTTTGTATTGAAGTGTAGAATATCCATAAGAGAGAGACTACAGCAATGGCTAGTTATTAGGCACAGTGGTATAGTTCTGTAAGTAACCCATTTCACTGAAGTGGTATGGCTTCATAGTATTTTAAATATTATTTCATTGTAGAAGGCAATTTCCACTTCAGAGTTGTGTGAGGGCTTCCAGATTATTCAAGTTTTCTTGTCCGTGCAGAAGTCAGAAAGAGCAAGTGTGCACAACCCCATTCTTAGGCACAAATTAAATGCCGGGCTGGTCTGTCCAGGCTCCATCAAAGTGGTTGGAGAGAGATGGACTCTGTTCCGGGGCGGTCTGGGAGTAGGATCTGAGGTCAGCCAAGCTCCTTGACAGGGATTTTCCCCACCCTTGTCCCTGTGGCATTTGATGGGGGGAGGGCGAAGCCAGGGGAGAGAAGGGAGATTCTTCCTGGCAGCAGTGAGGTGGACATTGCCTTGACCTGTCTCATCAAATTGTGCTCCAATATAGGTGCTCTGGATCACCTCTGAAAGAGCCTACTTATGTCTGATAATTATGCTGGAAGCTTAAGTAGGCTGTCCATCTAAATTAGTTACCTAAAGTTAGACCCAGTAAGTACTCCCCACTGATGGTCAAATCCTTCCTGCCTTTTTTACTGTTACAAATCTTTTAAAGCAGTGATTTACTTAATTGAACGGTTGAGTGTTGGCTTGCAATTTGATATTCATTGTGAAAATACATTTGTATAATGTTGTTAAAATATCTAAAATACCCTGCTTTCATCTGAGAGATTTTTTTTGAAACATCAGTGACTTCTCCTTTTTACTTTTAACTTGCTTTGAAGCAAAAAAGAAAAAAAAAACCCTCAAAACTGGGAATTTTCTTAAAAAATATCAAGCATGATTAAAATTCCTCTCCTCTGAGATCTTCTGTGTTTCCTTGGATAAATACTAGTTTCAAAGTTTGTGTGAGGGTAGTTTATTTTATAAAATGCTGCTTGAACATAAGGATAATAATGTTTCGAATTGTTCTGTTATTCCAGATAGAAATACTGCATGTAAACTGTATGTAAATGTTTCATAACCAATTTTTAGAGTTAATAACTATTGATGGTTTTCTACATGGACATTTTCAGGGACCTTTTAATTCTTGGCTTCTGGTTTGCGCGGTTCCTGGACTGTTGCAGTTAAGCTGATGATGATAATAGACCACTTGTAAATTGACTTACTTTATTTCAGCATTGCATTAATAATTGTAGAAAATTTTTCAAAAAAATATTTCATCATACTTAAGTTTTAAATTGAGTTTACATTGGTATGGTTGTAAATCCTACTGTAGGTTAATGCAGTTACCCTATTTCAGAGTGGTCATTAGCATCAGAAAAACCCGGTTGCGTGCATCGGAAAAACCTGGCTACTATTATTTTCAGCAGTATGACTGTTTAACACTGTGTTTGTGGATGAATAAATGTGGTAGCAGTTAGGGAGGAGAAAGGCCTGTAAATGATCCAATCTGTAAGCAGGACTACAGAGGAACTTTTGACAGAATGTACTCCCATCTGTATTAACACTGTGTATAGCAGATATGTACCAGCAGAAAATTTATCTATGTATCACAGGTCTGATGACCCCATTTTAATCATTGCTCTAATTACTGTGATGGATTATATCTTCCAGGCACAGTTAGTTGATCTGAAGTCTGAACTGACAGAAACTCAGGCAGAGAAAGCAGTACTGGAAAAGGAAGTGCACGATCAGCTTTTGCAACTCCATGCTGTTCAGCTTCAGCTACATGCCAAGACTGGTCAGAGTGTTGATTCTGGGGCTATTAAGGCAAAACTGGTGAGTACGGTGGCTTGAATGAAGGATTGTGTTATACTTTTTCTTCCCCTTGCTGAAGTTCTTCCTCGGAAAATGCAAACAGGCTCACTGCAAATTTTAATGTTAAGAAGGTTGGAGAGAGTTAGCTTTTTCTTTTTAAATCACATTTGCAGTTGGTTGTTAGCAACAGTTAAAAATAACCTAAGTAACATCACAGTAATGAATAAGGATGTCAGATGTTATTTTTACGTAAACAATTTTCTGAGTAGACCTAAGTTTGTTGAAGTAAAACAAAAAATATTTTGATGGTTTAGAATTTTTTTTTTATGGAGACTGAAGTTAAAAAAAGACAATAACTTCTAATATAAAATTACAACAAAATGTTTGCCTATCATAAAAAGCCTAAAGTGAGGTAAGTCTATTTTTTTACTCCAGCAATACTCTTGACAGGAATAGGAGTGGGATTGTTTTGCCATACACAGGATAGATGGTGTTGCAGTCCTCTCTCTATTGTCCTGCTTTCTCATTCAGAATGCTGCAGATGCATCTGCTGTTCATCCACTATCTTATCTGTTCCTACATTCAGCAGACTATCATAAATGAACGTGACAGACCAGTGATAATTTAGTGGAGCGGTTTTGGGAAACTTACGAATCTTACAAAAAACACTAGCAGTTAACAGTAGCCAATATATACATATCTGGGCAAGTAACTGCGATTGACTGAAAACCAGAGTATGAGAAGCTACCTCGTTACTAGACACAGCACAGTTTCATGCTCTAACAGTGAGACATGTTTAAACAGAAAAATAAAGTAATTCTATATAGAGTGTAGTTTCTGACCATGGACGTTATCCAAGTCTAGCTGTCTGGCCATTTTTAAAATAGTTTTGTGGATTGGTTCCAAATAGCTAATCCCAGCCTCCATGGAACATTAGGTTAGTCGCCTCTGCTATGTTGTCTTGTTACTTAATGCACACTGAAACAGCAATAGATTGTAAAGCTTAAAGGTTATCTGTGCTGATCACTGATTAACAGACTAACCTGAATCCTTCCTGTTTCAGATCCCAAAGCTACGGTTGAATTAGAGCATGTCCTTTAAATATATGATATTCATAAGTACTATAGGTCAGAACACATACCAAAAAACAAAAGTTAATTGGGATTTTGAACTGGTTTTATTGGATGAATATCTAAAATATTTTAGATATATCTAATGCAGGACTGAACTTATTAATTTATAATTACATAATTTACATGAGCGTAAAATATTTTATATGTACTTCCATCTAAATATTTGCATATCCAATATCAAAATGACATATTCTGGATTATCTGTACATAATTTATTCTGTACCAAATTATAGCTTAAGCAAATAAGAAGCGATTGATAAGGTTTCTATAGAACCATCATTAATTTTTGTGGACCTGTAAGTAAACATCAGCTAAATATCACCAAGTATTTTGTAAGTTTTAGGCTGCATACTTGCATGAAGTAATTTTTTTTTTTTTTTAACCAACTTTAGGAATGTTTCAGGTCCCTAAGTTGTGATAAGATTAGTGAGACAACCTCCAAGTGAGATAGGGAGTCATACTTACAGTGTTTTCATTTTTAATGATCCTTACCTTGCTATAAGCAATTTCAAAAGATATATTAAGTGTCCATGCTAGTGACAGGAGTCTTTTCCCACAGCTGAGAGTAAGAACTACATTTGTTTTGCATTGTGTAGGATTTTGTCCGTGTTGAAGTTGAATTTATTAAAAGCTTAAGCTGGCACTCTCTCCTTTAATTCCGTGTAGTGCCTCCTTTTTTATAAACATCAGAGCTTCTCTTTTAAGTTTGCTTTACTTTTACCTTTATGAATTTTGTACTTTGTAGTGGAGAGAAAGTCTCCTTTAAACTGTTCTAAATGCAGAGGATTGTAAAGGTCTGGACAGCTTGAGCAAGCAAAACTGAAACTGCTGAAATGACAAAACTGGGAAATCTGAATTTTAGCAAATAAAAACTTTAGTGTTGACCTTCTGGCAGTCAGAAAGTCTCTGAGGGCAAAGAGAAAGGGTATCAAGAAAATTTGTAATGGGGAAATAAATGTTCTATACTAGTTTACTTCCTGCTTCTTTTTTAATTACAACCACTCTCTGTTACATGTAAACTCTTAACATAAATGTATACTTTATGAATTGTGAAATTGTACACAGTGGTAAACTAAGACTCTTTTTTAAAAAAATTTCATGTTACTAAGAAATTGATGGCATCATGTAATTTAGTTTGAATACCTTTTCAGGAGTGTTGTATTTGCTTAGTCCAGGCACAATAACCTGACTTTCTTTGCAAGAATATGAAGTTGCCTAGTTGAAATTTTCTTCTGTTTTGTGGTTCATGTATCTTTTTGGCTACCTTTCTCCATCCTTCATGTCACTGTTGTGACATATCCTACGATCCTTTCCGAAAAGCAAAATTCCATTTTCTGTGTAGCAGATATTATGGACTATATATTTATGATCCTTTTGGAAAACTGCTACGTACTCTATTTATCCCATCAATTAAAACCCTTGTTTTAGGTTCAAAACAGCTAAGAACTAAATCTGCATTCTTTTGTTTGAAAGAGCTTTTCCTCTCAGTAAAATATTACAATGTTTTTCATGTTATTCCACTGTTCTTTATAGCGATTCCTAGTATTTTTAGGAGAAAGTATTGTTTTCAATGCTGCAATAAGGTCAAGAATTCTAATAATAATTCCTATTGCAAAATAGCAAAGTTGTCGCTAAGTACATTTGTAGTAGTGTGCTTATTTTTCTTCTTAATACCCTGTAATGACATAAAAACAGCTGGTACATTTCTGTCAGAATAACTCATTCATGTTATTGCTTTTTCTTAAAGTTCCTATTGCTTGTTTCTCTAATTATGAAACTCTCTTCTTCTGTCTTAAGTCTGTCCTTTCTGTGGAAGAAATGGTAAGTAAGCTGATTGCCTTTATCTGTGTTTAAAATGCTGCTTTGTTTTGTGCAGCAACTTACATATTTTGGCCTTAGAAACTGGCAAAATGGATCTATCTTGTTCAGTTTTCTTGTAAGTTGACAACATGCTGTGTGAAGAATTTTCTTTGTTTTTTGTTTGTTTGTTGTTGTGTTCTACTAGTTTTAGTGCTCTTTTTCCTAAGTCTGTGTTTGTTTATTGCTAACAACTTTACATTCTGAATGATTGCTCTTGCTACATCTCAACAGAATTTTAAGCTATTTTACAATTTATAAAACATAAATAATGTACACATCTAGCACTGCAATATGAAGTATTCTATATATGGTACTTTATCTTTTTTTTAGGAGGGGATCAACTTTTCCTTGTGTTCCCTCTTTTCAGTTCTTTTTATGGGCATGATTTAATACAATTTACCAGCTTATTTAACAGCCTAAAGCATATAAACTCAGTAACAGGTAGATACAAAGGAAAGGTGATGCAAAGTTAACTTTTATCTCTCAGTCTTTCCCAGTGGTAGACTTTAAAGGTTAGGGAATAGCTTTTCTACCTTTGTTACGTTCTATGCTTCATGCCTCTTACTCATCGTTTGTTCTTATTATTTGAAAAGCAACAGGGTGGCTAACGACTGTAACCCTTGATCTTCAATATTGCAGCTGCGTTTTTAGTTTATTGTTTTTTATTATCAACAGAAAACACAATTTTTCTATTTTGCGGGACTTATTTAATACTATGAACACTAGGAAGTATAAAACATTTAACACTCAACTTTTAAAACATATGTGAAGACTTTTTATCACCTGTCACAGCAGTTAATCTTTTCTTCTCTACATTTGACAAGGCTTACTCTTTCAGTATGTTATCACTCCAGAGGAGTGTAACAATGGCTTCTGCGTGTAGTTATCCACCTCAGACACAGGATAAGAGTCATGTTAATGGAGAAAATAGCAAGAAGACAGTTCGGTGTGATTAGGTTCTTAGATATATACATTATGTATAACATTTAAAATTCATGACTAAAAGTGTTTCCACTTAGACACATAGCATTTGACTTCCTTTTTGATTTTATTTATATGAATCAAATTCTGAGAAAATCAAGGGAAAACTTCAACCACAATGAGAGTTTTTAAGTTGTCTGTATTTCATATAAATACAGTAAAGTATGCTGTATGACATTTGGTAGCCTAAGCAAATACCCTAGATCGCTTTAGCAAATCAATTTTCTGGAGGAGATTGTAATTCTTCTCTCAAGTCATATTTCAGATACATCAAGGAACTCATGCATCTCTGAGGCTTTGTTTCTGAATAGAAAACATCTGGTAACTCCTAATAATTTACATGCAAACACATTATAAAGTTTTACTTTATGTATTTTTATTCAGTAACTAAAGCACACAAAATTTCCAGTGAGAAAGAAAATGGAACGTTGAGTGTGAATACTGCACCTTTATAGAGCTGCCTAAATTCTGGTCTTATTTATATTTTATCAAATAAAAGAGGTTCTAAAAGAGAATACTTACACAATCAGTGGGCCTATAATATTTAGAGCTACTTGATGCAGTCTTTGCAATATGTATATAACTAACGTGAGTGTTACAGGAACAGTGTACCTGTATATGGACTCCCCAGTGGCTGTAAAACTAATTTTATGTCTGACCTATGACCCTTCTAACAGCTCAGAAGTGTAGCAGAGGCAGTCCTGTGTTTTGGCACTCCTGAATTTTTGTAACTGCCCTCTGGCTGCTGGCAGATGTGAATCAGAACAACACACAACCATCATTACAGTAGTGAGACATGGTATAATTTTAGAAACTCTTATTTTTGAGATGGAGATTAGCCCAAATTTTTGGCTTATGAGCGTGTGTCCTGCAGTTCAAAAGGAGATTTGTTGAAAAATTTGTCTTGCTGTCAGGACAAGCCCCAACGTGAAAGACAGAGCAGAAGTGACTTTGCGTGCCAGGTTTTCTAACGTGCTTATGGGGTCAAACTGGGTCAATATAAGACTGCAGGAAGTGAAATGGCAGTTATTTCAAGCGCTGTTAGTGCCACCGCTCCTCAGCGGTATGCTAGGCAATTCCTGGCCAATACGTGCAGCTGTAATGTGCTCCCTTCACGTAGCCTAATGCAAATATGTGAGAGGTGAGGGAGTCACTAAAATCCATCAAATTCAGAGTTGTTTTGTAGAATAGTGATCTGGGCTGAGCATATTAGTTGCATTAATTCCAGTGCTTTGGGTATTAGAAAAGATAATGACTGTATGTTTTCTGTACATCTAGAACTGACCACTATGGAAGTAACTTATATTTCCATAATTCCCTTTTCATGAGAAAAGCAATGAAGGAAGGTAGCTTTCTTAGCCTGGGGGGTGTTTTTTTGTTTTTTATTTTTTGTTTTTTTTTTTAATGAAGCTGTTTTGCACTAATTTCTGTCTACTTTGTCAGGGTAGGTATCACTGTGTATAGAAACTCTGACTTTATTTTTGTGCCCTTCGGAGTCTAATTTGGAAATATTCCCGGCTGGGCGACAGAGTAGAGACCCTTTGCTTCCTTGGTTCTTTGCAGGAAAATGATTGTCATTTTAAAGACAGCCTTACAGAACATTTCTTTGACATCTGATCATACTAAAAATCATTTTAAAATAGTTTTAAAAGAATATTGGTCTCCTCAAAGTATTTTATGGATTTAAAGCTACTTTCCTATCTTTAAAATAATCTTTTCTCTCTTGTTGTATGAATGTCCCATTTGAACACAGGAAAAAGTAAGGATGATATTTAAACTACTTCCTTTTTTGCCTCTTACATGTGACAGGAAGAAACCCTCCCATTAATGTCCATTCCTCAATTAGGAACCAATATATGCCTTTTGTGCTAAGGAGTTATAAACAGGATAAAAATAGCGTTGGGAGCCCAGGGTTGAATGGAAGGCCTCCTCTGCCCAGAGGGGCGTGCAAACAGCTAGCTAGCTGCAGTACCAGTACCAGCGTTCCTTCTTCCTTTGTAGGTTTGTTTGTTTTTCCTGTTACCAAATAGCTCCACTTCTTTTTTGCAGTGATACTGTTTCAACAAGTTAGAGAGTTTATCCCCAGGTAAAGTCAAACTAGTCTGTAGTCTGGGATTTTCAGGAGTGTGTGAATCCTTTAGGAATAGAACAGGCCTAAAAGCGCGTGTCTCCTGCTTCCCTGGATGAGCTCTTTAAACACTAGGCTCTTTTGGCGGGGGTGGGGGGGGAATCATAGCATCTTTTCTCCCTGTGAGCGTCTCTTCAAAAGGAGAAAGCTCTGCTCTCTTAAGAATACCTCTACTGAGAAGTTGTATTTTGGCTGTTGTTTAGTGCAAGGCTTGAACGTTAAGTAAGATGGTTGTCTGTGAGCGATTTTTGTCAAGTAAGGAAACATGTTCAACTTCTACAAGTAATATTTTTGAACGTTTTAGGTATTTTCCCTCTCACCCACACCCCTACTGCAAAACTCAGAATCTATGAGGGATGATACCATTTCATAAGGATGGGTTTATTTGCTTCATCTGGTTTATGAAGGCTGCATCTCCTTCCCTTAATGTCATTAAACTTTTATGTGCTATTAATTCACATTTCAGTGACAGATGTCTAGTTCTATTTGGGGAGCTTCTCATGAACTGTAAATTTGTCCAAATTGTATTTGTTGACATACCTTAGTTTAACACAAGGGAGGAATAGTAATGGAGGAGCAAGTAGGTGATGTTTCATTGAGCCAGTCTAAGTGCACTAGTACAGGCAGATGCAGTATGTTGCATGTGAAAGCGGTTGCTTCTTACACCTTTCTGAAGGGGCATGTTCTGAGGCTGATGCTTGTGGGTCAGTCTAGATATGTACATGTGGAGGAATGTGCCCCATATTACTACTATTGAAAATCAAACTCCAATAATCTTCAAAACTAAAAGGTGTGGCCACCAGTTTCTTTCAAATAATTAGTTGTCTCTGTCTGTCATATTCTTGAAGACCATGTCTTTTTGTGTTTTGAAAAAACAAACTGTCATGCCAGCTCTCATACAAAGCGTTTGAGCACCAAAATATTTCTTAATGTGTAGTAATACATTCTGGATTTTATTGTTTTAATTTTAAAACATAATCAGATACTATAAGATCTTTGCTCTGGAAGACTTTGGGTTTTGTTTTCTTTATAGGTAAGACTTTCAAAAGCAAAATTTATGTAATTAAATGCCTAGCTCCCATTGACTCTTAGTGAGATGGGGAACTTAACAGTCTTCTAGGAAATCTCTTTCCAAATTAATTTTGGAGTGGAAGAAGAAGACGAAAAAAATTTTAACATAATTATGTTAGAGAAAGTATGTAATTTGAGTTTTGAGAGTCCTGTGGCTCATTAAAAGATGCCTTTATCATAAAGGAACTATAATTTTTGCATCGTGATACCACATCTCCTATAGTCAGGAGAGTTATTTCATGCTGGTATGCAGAAACAGTAAGTGCTCTTTCATTTCAGAGAAAACTTTTCAACAATTTTTTTTCCTTTCTTTTTTCGTAAAGGAGAGAGAACTTGAAGCTAACAAGAAAGAGAAAGTGAAAGAAGCTCAACTGGAAGCTGAGGTGAAGTTGCTAAGGAAGGAAAATGAAGCGCTTCGTCGACACATAGCTGTGCTTCAGGCAGAGGTTTACGGAGCGAGGTTGGCAGCCAAGTACTTAGATAAGGAACTAGCTGGAAGGTGTGTAGAGTCAATTTGTGTACCTAGTATGGATCCTTTTTCTTTCTTGTTGATACAGGGGTTCTTTCATACCACATTGTGTATAGCATGATAAGTCCTGATCTATACCAAGCATTTCTTGACATATGGAAATATCAACACTATATATACAAGTCATACCTTGGAAGAGTTGGATACAAACATCTGTAGATTTTTTTTTTTTTTTGTGCTATTACTGATTATAAAGCAAGGTTCTTCTTGTTCACTCCTTTTTATAACTGCAACCAGCATCTCCTAGTAGCATCTGTTAACTTTTCTTTTCTCCTAGGCTTTGGATTGACCATGTTGATAGGTGTTGCGCTATTGTCATCTGAGGGATTAATATAAGAGAGTGACCAGAAAGAAGCCAGTCACACGTCTTGTTAGTTATCTTTAAAAATTTTACAAGACTTAAGTTCTCCCTAAATAATCCTGTTCCAAAGTCTTCATTACTACATTTTTAAGAATGGGTTATTCCTGGTTTGTTTTTTAATCCTCTGTGTCCTTAGCTTTTAAAATTATTTGCAAGGAGGAAACGTGTGCAGAGGTATGATCTGGTAAGAAAAGAAACTCTGTCTGTGGTATATCTCATGATCGTTAATGACTTTTATAGACCAACATATAACTAGGATAACTCAGTCATGGCAATACCAGAAACAGGGATGTCAGGTATGCTTGTTTAAATTTGGTAGCATATGACTACCATATAACTACGATGTTTAACTGTAATAATTGGCAGTGGATAACTGAAATAAACTTAGCAGCATACAATCATGGTCAGTATTAGCAGCACAGTGCCAAAGTTAGGATAAGCACTCTCAGATTCCTGAGCTCACCCAACCCACTAAGGTCTGCAAGGCTCTTTAGAGTCCACACTGACAGCATAGGGCCGGGTCAGCCTGCCTGTGTGTTCAGGTGGGTTGGAGATGATGGTCGCCTTCACAGCGGCTGATTCTCAGAAGCTGCGGTATGCAGCCTTCATCCTGTCTGTCAGGTCCCACGCTGCACCCTCTGAGTAGTCTTTTTATCCTCTTAGAATGCCACGAGCGATGGCTTTACGTGCTGCCTCAGTTTCTCCAGGCAGGTTGTTCATTGTCCCATACCGCTGCAGTTCCACATCTGACTGAACCTAACTGATCACTTTGGCCTTGTTCTGTCTTAACTGCTACATTGTTGCATTAACCATCCCATGGTCCATTGACTTGCTGGATGTGTTCATGCAGCAATTCAGTGACAGTTTTTGTCTCACCATAAGCACTACTGAATGTATTTTTGTTGGGTTGGTAATTTGGTTTCCTTTCCTTTACCATGGGTCTGAGACCCTTGCTGCTATTAGAGCTATATTTGAATTTCCTCTTATATTAAAAAAAAAAGAAAAAATTAATTATTCTCTTACATTAAAGTGTGCCTCTGTTTTGTTTTAATTTAATTATAAACAAGATAGTCCCTTAAGGCTTCTGAGAACAGCGTTGATCCCTTTGGTCATGGGGAGAGCCCAGCCATTTACTTCTGGTTCTTGCAAGTTCATATGTATTTTGTCTGACTTGTATTCTGTCAAGCAGTCATAGAAATGGCCATTTTTTCAGCCCCATGTTTTCTTCCTCTGGAGCTCCTGAGGCACATCTAAAGTTAAGAGTAAGTAGGAAGGCGTATAGATGAGTAAAAATCTCATATTTGTTGTTAATAAATCAAAAGGAAAAAACCCAAATCCTTTACTTAACAAAGTACAGTCCTATACTTTTAAGTTTTTTCTGGAGATTGTGAGTTAGATGAATCTACAAGTCCTTAAGCTTTTAGGAAGAGCCTGTATATGCACGTACATGTTTGTTTAGCATGCTCAGCACTGTTATAATTCTGCACACTAGTGCTCTTGCACTAGTTGATGCGTGACTGTGTGCTGTAGCCAGAGGTAGTTATGAGTAATACAGTGCTAGTTTGCGATATAGCATGTTACTTATTTCCTCTCTTTGTCGTTGTGTAGGGTCCAGCAGATTCAGTTACTGGGCCGTGATATGAAGGGACCTGCTCATGACAAGCTCTGGAATCAGCTTGAGGCAGAAATACACCTTCACCGTCACAAAACTGTTATTAGAGCCTGTCGGGGTCGGAATGATCTAAAACGACCAATGCAAGCACCACCAGGACACGTAAGCTGAAATCGCGACCCGTTCCTCAGTAATTTCCACGATTTATGAGAAATAGTTATGACTTAGCCCTTCATGTTCCTGTTTGCTCTCACTTCAATATTGTGTTCTTTTATATGTCACTTTAAAAAACAGACAAATGATCTGTATGAAAGGATAGTTTCATCCTGAGCATCGTGTCTCCATAAATGCCCACGAAAGATGCTATAATTCCATGGACTTATCTAGGAACACTCGGTTCTTTTGCAAATGGAGTCTCTAATATGCATGTGTATACCTATGGATTTAGCAGCATATTTTTTGTTAGCTGTGTTTCAAAACTTTATTTAGAAACTTTATTTAGCAAAATAAACTTTATTTTGAAAAAAGTCATGAAGAATAACATTGTAGGATTGGATTGAGCTGAAAATCATTGCTGATTTTAAAAAAAAGTCAAGTGTCTCACTTTGCACTCTAAAGTAATTGAGTTTTTTCCCTCCAGAAGGTACATTTTAAAATAAAACCTTTAAAAGGCGTTTCACTGTGGTGGCCCAGGTGGAATTCACCTTACCTACCTTGGCACATGAATTGTTTATCAGCCCCAGGTTCACTGCATAGATACAGACACTTTCCAGAAAGGGAATTACTTTGACCTGTTCTGAATACCGTTGTTGGTCAGATGAATCCTACTGCTCATGTTGCTAATTATATGTGCATATTCACCCACCAGTTACTTTATATGTGTAGTTATAAGGTATGTGTAATGGCAACAGCAGCTTAACAAAAGCCAAATAAATACCTTGATTTACTTGGTCTTTTCATTAGATTTGATTTTAGTGGCTTTTAGGGTGTTTTGTTTTTATCATAATAAAAATGAAGTCAAGCAAGCAACCCTTTCCTTGGGACTGTATTGTTGCTTCTTTTATCTTTTAATTAGTTTTAAATTACAGTATGTCATACAATTTTCAGCAGAGATCAGCATTCCTTCTTGTAGTCCCTTTATGTTTAGTATGTGTCTTTTTTTTTTTTTTTTTTTTTTAGAAGTTCTGTGTTGTGCATCATTCGATGTTGAAATAATTGAAGTGATTATTCTGGTCAGGAACACACAGTGAATTGTTTGTCTTATTTCGTAGCCTATCTGTGAAGGGGAACTCTAAGTTTGTCCTGTTTGGAGCTACTCTAAAACTCTATTGCTCGCTTTCTACAATTAATAAAGAAAAACACAGAAATACAACACTTTTTGTTTCACACACTTAAATTTATCCTATGTTTGTGTCCATCAAACTAGGATCCAGATGCTTTAAAGAAGAGTCAAGGTGTTGGTCCAATCAGAAAAGTTCTGCTAGTTAAAGAAGACCATGAAGGACTAGGAATTTCAATCACAGTAAATACTTGCGTTTATTTTCCATGATACAGAAGGAAATCGTAAAATTTATGTTTATAATTCATTGTAACATATGAGGAGCAGTGAATCTATTGTTAGTAGTTACAAAAAAAAAAAATAGGGCTACCTTATCCAAATCAATAGCTATGCTCATGTCAGTTGAAGGATACAACTCATGTTGATAGAATATGAAATAATTAACTACTGATTTATGTAAAACTAATGATTTCAGAAAGCCTAAATAAGTATTAAGAAATAGATTTAGGCTTTAGACCCTTTAGCAGATTAGCTAGTGATGAATTCTAGCTGTCTTAAGTCTAGCAGAAATGGTCTGAGAACTACCTTTCAAAGCTTAGCTCTTATAGAATAGCTTTTTAAAATAATGTTATCTTGCAGCTTTATATATATCTCTATATATGTGTGTATGCATATAAAAAAGACTGTTTTATCTTTTTACAGCAGAATTTGAAAATTGTTATGCTTTTATTCTTAATATGAATATTATTTTTTGCAAATTCATATGATATCTGATGTGCTTTTTATTTTTATTATATGAGGTTTTGATGCTGTCTCATCAGCTTACGTATGATTTTGATATTTATTATAACCAGAATTGGTTATAATGTCTCCTTCCACATTTTGAATATATATTTGACGTATGCCCACTCTTTTTGGGGAGAAGAATTAAGGGAAGCATCTCATGCATTCTTCTTATCTAAAGTGTGTTTTATAGTTTTGTGTAATAAAAGCTGCAATAAGTGGTTTAAAGAGCAGATACCAAAATGCTGATTTTATGCTAATGAACAGCTCAGTTAGTTAAAACATACTTATTTTTATAGGGTGGGAAGGAGCATGGTGTTCCAATACTGATCTCTGAAATCCATCCTGGGCAACCTGCTGATCGATGTGGAGGGCTGCATGTTGGTGATGCTATTCTGGCGGTAAATGGAGTTAATCTAAGGGATGCCAAACATAAAGAAGCTGTAACTATTCTTTCCCAACAAGTGAGTTACACTTTTATCCGCAGGCACATTTAGGTGCTTCCGTTATTCTACCTGTTGAATTACCTAGGATACTGATATTTTGTCAAGCACAGTGATTATGCTAAGCTAAGATGCAATGATTCCTGAAGCTGTATCACGTTAAGCTTAATCTTGTTACGTCTTAAAGCCTAAGGAAAAAGGGCTAGGTTGGTACTGGTTCAGTTAAATCCACATATTGGCTAATGATCCTTCAATAAAAGTAATGGAAATCTTATTGTTACGTTGTCCCCACAGAAATAATTATTTAGGGATGTCTGTTTTATTTTTTATGAGCGATCATCGCCAGCCAAACAATGTTGCTCTGTGATCTAGAATCTTTTCACTGCATTGCTTCCTCTTTTCAGAAGATTAATAGATGCACTTACTATATCAAAAACCTATTTATTAGAAGTTACTATTTTAAACATACTAGCACAAAACTAAGAAATTCAGGTAATTTACTTTGGTAAATCATAGCTATAGAGCTGCCCTTTTGTAATCGGTAAAAACTTAATTCAGATGCATACTTAAAATATTCAACTCAACTGTTGAGTAAAATATACTTGTTTTGGTAGGCTAGCTCAACATAGTAATCCTATTGTGTAGTTGGGCGGTAGGTAAATTTATAATTTTGGTTGCATTCTAGAGAGGCGAAATTGAGTTTGAAGTAGTATATGTTGCTCCAGAAGTAGATTCAGATGATGAAAATGTAGAATACGAGGATGAGAGTGGACACCGTTATCGTTTGTATCTTGATGAACTGGAAGAAGGTGCAAATTCAGGTTCTAATAGGAAAGATGGAAATGTGGATGTCAAGCCATCACAAGGTAAGCTTTCTAAAAAGTGCTGCATGCACTTTTAATTCTGAATTCTCACTATGCAAACCAATTTCTAGAATACGCTGTTTTTATGTTAATTGTAAAATTAATATTCTGTTAATTCAGTTAACCTACTACTAGGCTGTCAGCTGTTTTGGTGCGTCCCTCATTCGTTGGCCTGGTTTACTTAGAAACAACTGAATTAACTTTTGAATTCTTTTTCCCCACCTTTTCCCAGGTTGATTTTTGGTCTAGGATTAGTTAATTCTCATTGATCGGTTATTTTGTTGACTTCTTCAAAAATACTTTTTTAGGTCAGAGAAGTTTAGAAACAATTCCTGTTTTCTTGTTTCCTGTTTCTTGTATTATGTTCTACTAAAAGCCTTTTAGTTCTTATTTTAGTAATCTTTTCAGTAAGCTTTCTAGTTTCTGAAGTAAGGTTCACTGATCTGTGACTCCCAAGATTGCTTCTTTTTCTTAAATAAAATTTATTTTTAACTTGCAGTGTTTGATAAGAAACCAAGTATTGATGGACATAAAAATGGAGACCTGGGGAATTCAGTTGAAGCTCCGTTAGAAGACACTGCACCCAAATTAGCCCGTTCTGCTGAGTCTTTATCGTAAAGGAAAAAAAAAAATCAACTGGACAGATCCCATTTTTGGGGAACAAATGATAATCATTACTGACTGCTCCAAGTTGCATATACTAGTGTAGGTTTTAAAAGGATGATTGAAAGTCAAAGGGAATTGTATTATTGTTGCCTGGAAAAAAGGCGGTTACCTCAGGGCTTCATTGTGAGCAATTCTAAATGTGGAAAACTGTCTTTTGCGTGACATGCAATAGTTACCTAGCACATGGCATGTGAAATTAATTTTCTTTTACTAATAACCAGCAAAGCATGGGGTTTTTAAAAAGGATAATCTTAATATATTCAACTTTGAATCTTATTAACGTCCCAAAAGAAGTAGTATAAAGTGCGGCGACCTTCATTTTGTCTCTTTGATGTTTTAAAGGGACAGCTTATGTTCTGTTTGGTGTGAAAAAAAGCTTTATCTTGGGGGGGGTGGGGAGGTGGGAAATAAATTGTGCTATTACAACCCTGAGTTTAATACTTGGAATTTTTTAACTGCAGCTTTAAAAAATGACAACATTTTCCTCAGAATAGCAAAAAAACAGAGCTTTTATTTGAGGAAAAAAACAACAAAACCTAAAGGGAGGCAACTGAGTACTTGTTAATCTTGATCTTTCAGCCCATGATCATTTTGAGTGAGATTTTTGGCATTATTGTTTTAATCAATTCACTGCCAATTGTTGCTGCATTTGAAACTTACTCCAAAAGTATTTAAACAGAGTATTATGGAGTCTCAAAAGTAAAATTAGTTTTAAAAAACATTCACAATTATGTGTGCCCTTTGGTATTTTTTTTTTTCTGAGCATCATCAATTTAGCATCCATTCTTGAATGGATATGGTTACTACTAGTGTGGAATGGTTTTATACATTTTTGAATTGGTCATCATTGGCTTGACCTTATGAAATTCTGAGTGCTTTTGGGGTGGGTACTGAACAAACTCATTTCACATTAAAATAATCTTTAGAGACTTGAAAGTTGAGTGCACAGTACTTTATAGAAGGTACTCAGAATCATAGTGTGTCTGGCCCTGTCTATGTTATGATATGACAGTCCTGTTAACCTATAATTGTCTTATTGTTGAAACAAAATGTCTTATTGTTGAAACAAAATGTTACTCCTTTTTTAAAAGTAGTATATCTTAAAATAGCTTTTAATTGGTGTACATCTAAAGGCCCAAGGCGTAGTTGCAAATGGGAATGTCAAGGATGATTTCTTGGCCAGTTTCTCATATTGTATTTGTAGATCTTTTGGTGAGGCACAGTACTCTCCATATGCAAACTCCATATTGTAATAACGTTTATTATGTCAGCTTGCAACGCCTGCTTTCCTGTTCACTGCTCAGCAGGCTGTTGAACGGTAATGTGAAAAGATGAAATTTTGTACTTTGAGAGTGGAACTGATGTGAAATGGCAGCTTTGCAAGCGTTACTGTGTAGGATGTACATACATAAGAAAAAACTCAAAGGCCTTTAGAGTGATATCAATTAATCTAATGTTCAAAATTGTCGTCTAGAACACAGTTACTTGTTTTTCTTAGGAGCACTATATATATATGTTTATAGAAAAATCCTAAAAATGTATATACTTTATTCAAAGATTTTGCTATTTATAAATCCTTTAACTTTGCTATTTACATGATTGTTCTTGTGTGTGTGCATGAGTTCCATTCACTCAGTGGAATTACATTATTTGTTTCATTTCTTGTGATAGTCCTTGTCATATGGCATACTATTGAAGGTTTTTAAAATAGTCTAAATTAAAATATCACCAAACAGAAACTAGTATTTTAAAATAGAACTGTATGAAGAAGCAACAGGTCCCCAGGCATGTTTCTTTTTCTGAAGCTTCATGAATTTTAGGACATATTGGCTACATATTAGTAGATAAATCCACTGCCATAATTTTTGCATCTAGATTTCTGTTTTTCTTGCAGTTACTCAAGTAGGATGCACGCTGAAGCTCTCTGTGGGCCTGGGATGGTCTATATATATTGTCTATCAGAGAGGATAGCTCAGTTAAGTTAAGGATCTTGTTGTCTTTGAAAATCATCGCTATATGAAACCCTGCTATGACAGTTGTAAGAAGCAAGGGCTTGTCCAACTAGTCTAGTAACCTTTAAAAAGTAATAAATTTGCCTGTACAGTTTCCCTGTATGTGAGAGAAGGTTTGGATTTCAAATTTATTAGTTCTTCCTTGCTTGTTGGCACACCTCATCATCACTTTTGACTAGTTTCAACTGGAAGGGGGAGAATGTTACTGGAGTTATTTTCCTGACATTCCTTGTCCACCAGTTTGTCATGATGCTATGCTCTTTCTGCATGCTCTGGAAACTGCTGGACTCTTTCTCTGCTGTTATCTTGTCTATTTTTAACTGGTATATGAGATCAATAGAAGGAACATTTCCTGAGAAAAATGACCAGAAGTAGAAACAAATCAGGTGGCAGTAAATTATCACCATGTTTCTTCCCCGCAGTTTTTATTATCTTTATTTAGGAAGCCCTGAATGGAAGAGTTTTGCTCAGACACTACAGTATGGCTATACTCCATACTTCTTACCAGCTGATTTAACTAACTGATTTATTGCAGTCATACAGAGATGGTTAGAGATTAATATTTAAGCTGAGAAAAGTTTTGCAAGTTGAGATTTCCAGATTTAGTAGACAAATGTGTGCTTTCTTCTTTTGTCCGTTACTGGAAGACTCAGATCTCCTGATTCCCAGATGGTGAATGATTTTGACTTGGAAGTGTTTCCAAGGAAAGTCAGTATTCAGACTTCATTTTTATTTTTTAAAGTGTAAAACAGTTTACTTGTGTATATATATTTTTACTTCAAAAATAAAATAAAATTCTAAAGAGAAAGCTGTGCAGTTCTTTTAAGTAGGTAATTCCTTGCTTGTTGAAAAGAAATTTTCTGTGGAGAATTGTGTTAAAATTTATGTTAAAAGGTGGAGAGTATTTGTGTTGGTGTCTGGGCCGAATGTTTACTAAGAGCATGTAAGTTAAGAAAAGTGCTTAATGGCAATAAATTTAACTGATCAAATACTGTATGTAGTATTTCCTTAGTAGAAGTGTATTTATGGCAGTGGAGAGGGTTTGAATCCGTCTCAGTGTGTGTTAATCCACAGTTATGTCAGACAACATTCAGATGTTATTTATTGTAGCTGTTCAAACCTCCTTACCTTCTTGATTGCTCTCACGCCTGCAGATGTAACATTTTGCAACAAATGTATTATATCTAGTTAAGCTGAATTTAATATTTTTATTAGCCTGTAAATAAAGATACTCTTCTGCATTGCAGTGATTTCTGTACCTAATTCAGCCTAATATTTCAGTTTTTTCTGTTTTTATGTATCAAATATAGACACCAAACTGTTATGTGTTTCTGTTAAGGGTGTTGTCCACATTCGGATTATTGCATGAAAATCCAGGCTAAAAACTGACTAATATGAGGAAAACTGTACAACGTATAGGTTGACAGTAATCCAATCTTAACAGCAAATTTTTTTTTAAAAGGAAACAGTTATATGACACGCGTCAAATTTCATTATTTAAGACCTATTTTTCCTTGTTTCTTCTTTTTCAATAACAGGAAAAAAAGGAAAAAATTCAGTGTTAGCTAGCTCTATAGTATATAGTATTTTGTAGTCTGAATCAGAAGAGCTGTAAAGATCCAAACCGATCAGAGCATTATGTCATTCGGGTACAATTGTGGAAATTGCCTTTTTTTCTGTCTTTTATTTTAAATTTGCTATGCTGGAGCATAGGTGTGTTCTGTGTGTCTGATTTTTACACTGGGAAGATACAAAGCATTTATCTCTGATATAGACAAAAAATTATAACCAAGTATCTTATATTAAAAGTCCTTGTTCAGATTGAGAGGCTATTATGTGTTAAAATTACTTTTTTTTTTTTAAATTGTCTCTTACCTGTACTTAAGTAGTCTTCCTGCCCTTAAGCAGCAAGTTCAGTCAGAACTTGAGGCTGAACACAGAGCACAGATGAATGGTAATGGTATAGTAATTGTGGTAGTAGCATAGTGATGGTAGTACTTAAGGATTTATTGAGCATGTGTGACTCAACTGTTTAAGCAGAGAGTAGAAGACAGTAGGGGTACTAACTGTCTCAGAAGACAAGGCTGAGTCATGCTGGGTGAAAAGATGCATAAAGTACAAATGGGGAAGGCTACAACTGCAATTGGTTTGTTTTTTTTTTTAGTTTAAAATTTTTAGAAAGGTTTAATTATGAGCTTCTTAAGTACATGAAGAGAACAGGGAATAGGGAGAAAACACTTATGTTTGGGTGAGATGTAGCAAAGCAAGATTAGAGGTAGCTATCGGTGAAGAGGGAAACAGATGGAAAGAGGAAAAAAAAAAAGTTATTTTCTTTGTACCAACTGGGATCAAGGGAGATCACTCAAAAGTTCTTGGTGTCCCTGTGCCCCTGTAGCTGCTCTTGGTGACTGTAGTCCCTGAATAGTTCCTCTGCATTTTTTCAGAGATCCACACATAACAGAAGAGGAGGAGCATATCCTGACTCAGGATATTCCTGTGGAGTCAATTTTGCTCAGTAGAACCTCAGCCCAACGGCTTGAAAAGAGAATTACTTAAAATATTTCAAACTTACCTTCTATCTAGAATGTGTCTTTTCCAATATGATGTGATTCCCAATTCTTCTGAAATTGTAGAAATTTCACAGTTTGAGTTCAATCCAAAAATTTGAAAAATAGCAACATTTCTGCTGTCTTTAGAAGAAAACTACTCAACTTCTTTTTTTTTTTTCTTTCCTCAACAGGAAAGTTGTTGCTCTATATGCTCAAATCTCTAAGAGTAGCTGTGCCGTATCTGTATTTGTTTGATTTCCTCCTGCCACAGAAGTAAGCCTGTGCCTGCTGCAGAGGTTCTGAGCACCCACCTGTGTCCTGCACTGGAGATAAACAGGGTTTCTAGGCTAAATAATAAGGTCATGTAATTTTTTTTAAAGAGGTGACTCCCTTTTTAAGGAATGA